AGCTGAGATTTGTATAGTGTGGCTCAGCTGAAGAAAAACTGATAGTTGAGTAACACTTTGCTGGCTTTTTTTTTTTGTGACTGACAATTACTTGATCTTAGTAGGACACCCAAGACTGCATAAATATTTAACTGGAAAGGCAATGCATGTGTGTGCATGCATTTTGCATCTAAAAATAGTTTTCTTTGAACAGGATTCAATTCTGACTTTGCTTCACTTTTAACATGGAGCAGAACTCCATGTGGAAAAACTAATGCCCTTTTATTGGCCAGCTAGAATTCCCTTGCTTGGCACTGCTTGTTTTCAACTCCTCACTACAATGTCCTTCCATTTAGTCAGCAGCAATATATGTAAATTAGTTCTGGGCATGAAGGAATTAAGAACAGATGGCTTAGAAAATGCTTTTAAAATTAGTGGGTTTTTTCCTTTAAAAGTAGTTTTGAACTCTGCCTAATTTTTCCAACTTATTTTGCTGATTATTTCCACTTACCCTTCCTTAATTCAAAGTTGAACACAACAATTGTGGAGTTAATCTTTATTTAATGTGGTATCTAATATGCCAGATTTCATTCCTTTTTCTAACAGAAGAATTGACAGAAAAACACAGCATTGAAGACTGTAACATCACATCCTAATGCTACAAAAACACAGAACTGAGTCTCCTGTGCCAGTCGAGAATACAGTTTCACAGTGACTGAGCTCAGGGCAGTAACAAGCTTTTGAGGAGAGCAAGTGTATGTTACCATGTCTGTGTTTCTGCTTGCTGTGAACTGGACACCAAGAGGCACAGTGACATGCCAAGGGAGGCCCAAGGCTGAATTTACATCCATAGATATTTGTATAGTGTGTGAGGTGTATGGTATGTGCTGAACTGCCTCTAGAAACTGATATTCTTTCTTCCCAGAACAGGAACAGCAAGAGTAAAAGCTCATGAAAGGATTTTTATCCTTGATACGTAAGTGTTGAGATCTGCTGACATTTGTGAGAGTGATACCAGTCTGTTAAGCATTGAGAGCTTAGGTTTGTACAATGTGGACAGCTGCCCCTGAGGAGCTCCACTGGGCACCATCCACTTGCTCCACTGGCATCATCACAGCAGTCATAGATGAGATGGTGATTTACTCACAGCCCACAGAGATGAAGTTGAAGCTGAATTCTGAAGGGAAGCATCTCTAGTGCCATATGCTCCTGCTAACCAAGCATTAAAAGCCACAAAAATGAAAGAATCTGTGAGGAGATGATACAAAGCTGGTCTGCTCTTAGGTTTTCAAAAGGTATCTGGAACTTACTTTAGAGTTTCAACCATGGTAGTAATGAAAGAATAACTGAGAAGATGGCTGATACTCTAACTGTAATACAGAGCACCAAAACAATTCTCAGTTTTTAAAATAGGTATGTGACACACCTAGGTCAAACTCACTAGGGCAGAGTTAATAAGTTCTAAGGTAGTTCTTCTAAAAGTGGCACTGTATATAATTTTAGTTTCTTAAGTTTGTTAGCCGACAGGATTTCATGTGTACCTAACCAGTACAAATAAATACTCTCTTGCTGGCATTTCCTTTCAGTATGTTTTATTCCAGTTGCTGATTCTTTGTCAACACAAATTTCTCCAGGTAAATTTTGGACTTACTTATGTAACAACAGAAACAAAGCCGTTTTGAAAGACAAAAGCAAATTGTGATAGGGAGAGATATGGGATAGAGAGAGGAGGAATAGCATAGCAGCAATATTCTGCATAGAGTAGTCACAGTGGTGTCAGAGACTGTTACTCAAATCTCTGGGCTTGTTCTCCCAGACATCTCACTTACCTTCAGCAGCAGGAGTGCTGACACAGGATCTGTGCTCAGGTGTCTGTAGTCCTGGAGGTGTCGAGGAGTAATTTTCCAGCAGGCTGTACAGATAAAGTAGCACCTAGCAGTTCAGAAGGGACTAGGTGTAGTTGAAATCACTCTATCATTTGATAAATGATATCTTTGTTATCCTGAGGTGGTTATGTGAAAACAAGGTGTTTTGTGCCAGTGTCATGTTATTGAATGGAATAGGCCAACTGAGCTTGCTAACAGGCATGCAATGTTCACTGCATGGTGCTGCTTCCACTAGAGCTGAACCACTTGGTTTGCTGTGTGTGCCTGAGGCTTTTAGGCCTTTGTGTGCCCCTCTGCTCCCACTGTGTCCATCTGAAGGTTTCATATCTCAGCTTTTTATCAATAATTAAATTGGTCATGATTTCACTCCTCTTGTTTGAAATTATTAGCTCAGCATTTGTGTGGACTAGCTGAGATGTGGCTTACATGAGCATGGGATGAGGTTTGTTTCTACACAACTCAGAGAACATTAAATTACAGATGGTTTATCATCTAGTAATGCCAGTGCAGCAGATCTTCAGCGACTGGGAATTTGCCTGAGACTTTGTCTGCTAACATTGTGGGGCTCAAGCTTACACCCACAGGAGATAACCTTTGCCTCAAAAAATTGACATTCACGGTGGATTTTGGCAGGTTCAGAAAGTGAAATTCAAAGATAAACCCCTAGTATCAAGTTGTGCAAAAAAAAAAAAAAAGTTTTTTGAAGCTTGTAAGTTCTTCAATATGGGAAATGTTTTGCATGGCAAGATTGTTGCATAAATTATGAAAAACAGATATAAACAAATATTGGCAATATCCACACATACAGTTGTTTCCAAAGACAGCTGAATTTGTTGTTCGTTGATGAAGTAACACTTGTGTGTCTGGGTGCTTCTCAGTAGGGTGTTCAGATAGGTTGGTTAGATGAGAGAGGTGCAGCAGACCTCAGGGAAATGAGACATCTGCATATAAGCAAACTTGCAGGAGCAGTGGATTTGAAGAGGATTGGGATTTGTGAACTTAACGTTGTAGTAAAAGCTGGGGGTAAAATATTAAAAGCATGTGTACACACACTTACTGAATAAACCCCAGAAGAGCTTTTAAGTGCAGAGATACCATCTCTGACTCAAAATACCTAAGCTAAACAACTCAATTCCTGGAGAGCATTCCAGGAAGGTACCCCTGGACATTTACCATGACTTACACCCATTCATTTTGCTAACTACTGTTGTTATTAGTTAATACTAGGCTAGATGGACTTCTAGTTTGAGCTGTCCCTGTGTTCTGAGTGTTCTTCCTTTTCACATGTATATTTATTCCCTTCATTACATGAAGGGGAGTGAAAACTGAATTAGCTGTTGGTATTTTCTTATGTTGCTGTTACAGTGTGGCTATAGGAGTTAGCTCTGATGTTGCTCCAAGCACCAGAGGGCAGAGGGTGGTAACTCTGCCTGGTTCCAGTAGTTGCAAAACTAGCTGTGCCAGTCTCATCAGCAAAATCTTGAGACTCACCACCTCTTGATATATCTTCAGTGGAAGTTACTAGTTCAACATCACAGGCATTATGCTTTAAATCTTTTAGTGTTCCTAGTTCTCCATAGGTCTGTGTAGGCCTGTCTGTATGATGTAAACATGGACAGATTTATCTTGGCTAGTTACTTAATGTCCCAACGTCATCTGTCACAGCTATGGCAACTTCACCTGGGGCTGCCTAAAATGGCTTATAAATAATGGTAGCATAGGCTGACCGTTATTGAATTATATATTTCATGTCTTTATATATTTCATTTGCCTTTGTAATTGTAGCATATCTGGGGAAAAAGGCTGCTTTCCCCCTGCCCCAGAAAAACATAGGTTCTATTTTGACTCTTCAGCGTGTGATAATAATTCTTGATGCGAAGTTATTTCTGGTTATCCATATGATGATTTCCTTCAGTTAAAATTTGTGTGGGTTTTTTTCCCTCGTGTGCCCTTAATTGGTTTGCTTTAATAAAGTCACATTGCTCTTTGTATGAAATGGTGGTTTCTAATGCAGAGGCTTCAGCCATATTCTAACACCATGGCATGGCTGTAATTATATCAGCTAATGGCAACCACTGGCTGCAGGCCAAGTAAAACGGTTAAGAACCATCTAATTGTCAGATGAAACAATGAGACGTGGATAGCTTGGTAGTACTTTAGTAAGTCTCTTAAATTCTCTTTACTCATCAAAAAGCTCAGTTAGCAGATCACTGTTTTTGTTGGAGATGAGCATGTTTGCATTGACGTCATGTTTCAGAGCTTAAGAGAATAAAAAAAGATGAGATGCCATACTTGCTTTAACCTCCCCCTTGCCAATTTAACTGGTTCTTAACCAAACTTATGCAAGTAGGATTTTACAAATGTTCTTGCTGCTTGCTGTCTGTTAACTCCTGTGTGTTTCAGATTGTTCTGGGCTGTGCACAGGTAGCTCCTCTCGGTGTGGAGTTTTACCCCGTTAGGTGTGTTTGTCTGTAGAATGGTGTGTCAGCCTGTGGATTAGCTGTTTGCAAGCTTCCCTGTTACTAATCATGACATCTGCTTTGCAGAACCTGCTCCAGTCCTGTAGGTTTACAGGTCTGTAGAGCCCCTGGATGTTTATACCTTTTTGTATTCACCTTTGCTAGTGAGCATGAATATTATGCTCTTTTAGAGAATGTTCTGCTTGTTTGGATTTATTTTTTCACTGAATAACTAAGTGGTACAATTTGTTTACTGTATTAAGTGTTTGATTACTGGAGGCTATAGAACTTCCCCATCCACTTTTTGTTGGGAAGTTTAATCCTTTCTGAAAGGGATTTACAAGTTGCAAGTGGAAGAGCTATTGCTGTTTTAGCTTTCTCCAAAAGCTTTCTGCTGCTTCATTAATAAGATTGTCACAGTAGCAAAACCAGCTCAGAAAGGAGTGACCCTCAGAACACCACCTGACTGGCCAGCCAAGAACCAAGACAAATGTCTAAGGAGAAGGTTGGGAGTGTTGATCAGTGTGTTACATTGGTGACTGGGTTATCAAACTGGTCATCGTTTCATCAGGATTTTTTTTGTCTTTATACTCTTCAGATGATTCATTAGATCCTTCAAATTAAAAAAAATAAAATTAAAAAAAAATCCTTTGAAATTCTGTTTTGTCTTTAACAGTGCCCTTAAAGATAGTCGTTTCCCCCCAATGACGAGGGATGAGCTGCCACGGCTTTTCTGCTCAGTGTCTCTACTCACTAACTTTGAAGATGTGTGTGACTACATGGATTGGGAGGTAAGGATGTCAGATATCTGTTAAGAAAATGGCTTTGATACCGTGAACATCATCTATAGCCAAAGTCACACTGTTTAAGTGATCTGCATATATTAGTGTAGCTGTCACTGTTTTGCACTCTATGCACATGATTATGTGCAGAGACTCAAAAGATGATACTTTTTGATAGATCTGTCATCACCTTAAAAGTCTGAGCCATGAAAATGGAATAAAGTTGTGGTTTTGCCCACTTAGGCACTCAGAGTGGTCTGCACAGTTGTGTTGTTGTCTAAGACTCTATCGAGTAAGGTGTTTGCTGAGCAAGGGTGTCCTGAGGCCTCCTGTGCAGCATAACACAGAGACATGGACATCAGTCCATTGACTCTGGCAAGGGATGTGCCAGTATGAAAGTTAATAGTCTGATGTATGCTTCTGGAAACAAGCACTGCAAAAAAATGGCACTCCCAGAACAAGCTGCCTTAATTAGCTTGTAGGCGGGAGACATCTTTTTTGAGAACTTTATTTGCTTTCAGAGTGAGTGACCTGCACAGACCCCACAAAGCCTTGATACCATGAGGCCAAGTAAATCATTACTCTTGGTTTTCTTCACTGCTTATGCATGGAGCTGAATCTATTTTAACTGCTAGGTTCCAGGAAACCTGCACACATTCTCTTGGAACGGCAGCATAAAAGAGATTAAGAAGCAAATGCTGACGTATATATGATGAAGTATAGTGACAGAAGTGTTAGTCTGTAGTGTTCTGCTTTTATCCCAAATTATTTGGCATTAGAGACTTGCAAAAAATCAAGTTGCTTAGACTTAAGATGAACTTCTGATCTCTGTCATCATGTTGCATTGCTCTTTGAGTCTATGTTTGAGTGGACATAAAAATTTGGCATTGTCATACAATAGCAGACATGTTATAATGCCAGAGACACCACACAAGCTACAGCATTTCCCTTTAATTATGGGCTAGCCCTACTAAATATTTTGAATTTTTAAGAGAGAAAGAGGCTTTCTGTTGTATTTACACATAACAAATATATATTGAATAGAAACTTCATTAGTTGTTAAAGTGGTGATAGGCCCTGCTGTCTCAGGGGAGTATCCAGCAGTAACTGTGAATTTTACTGTAGCTGAAAATCTAACAGAAATGCCTTTCCCATTTAGCTCATAATGACAAGGACTTCTTACCTTCTGATAGTAACTCTGAGTGAGATGGATCCAGGTTTGCTTTGGGGTTTATCAGCATTTTCACCATAATCCGAAATACTAATTTTTTGTGTTAGTGTCAGACCAGAAATAAACCTTAGCTGAAACTGTGTGTGCATTCCCAACCAGAAGCTTTTTCAGAGAAGCAGTCCCCCCTCTGTCACTGAGCCCTCTGAGTACTATAATCAGTGTTTTCAAGTAACTGCAGTGACTGTTAATGCTAAACACTAAACCAAACTAGAAATCAAAATTAAAACTTTAAATTAAAATTTTTCTCCTCTACTAGGTTGACTTCTGGTGCTAATCATTGTGATGTTTTCCATTTAATTTCATTGATTATAATTTATTAAAAATCAGACTGTGAATACACTCAGATAATGTGAAGTGCATAGTGAAATAGCATTTAGCTCTTTGCATGTCATGTTCTATAAATATTGTTAGATGCTGTTTTATTATCTCAGTAATAAACCTCTAAAATGACCCAAATATTGCTCCTTAAAGAAAAGCTGAAACCAAAGCCTGAGTTAAAATATCCACTCTCCCTTGGAAAAGACTGGGTTTAACTTTGTTCCTTGGGAGACTGCTGATTCATGGCTAATATGGTATGAAACAAAGGAGGCTTTTACTTTCTGTGTCCTTTCTATATCTTGCTGCAGAATCTTTGAGACTCTAACAACAGTGTAAACAAGCTTAATGCAGAGCTCTAGTCTTGCTGAGTTCTGATTGATTTTATGGATTCTTGCAATTCTTACTGGAAAGCCCTGACTTCAGAGGGAAGAATGGAGGGGTCAAAAATATAATAGTCCTTGTGTTATCCGTTTGCTTTGTGGCTCTCTCTTATTTCATCTAAGGGTTTTTTTAATATTGAGGTTTTTTAAACCTTTAGCAAATTCTTAGGAGTATTCTAAGAAGTGGTCATGAGGTAGGTTTCCATGCAGAAGGGCCTGGGGGGGAGGTGATGTATAAATATGAGATTATAAAACTTGTAATTGTTAGTCCTCAAAAGAGTGAATCATCGCTGTGTGCCCGTCAGAGACAGCTCATGTCACCCATGTTTCCTTTAAGGGAGCTGCAGTTATGCAATATTAATGGCAAAAGGACCTTTCAGGATGTCTAGAGTGTAATGCAAAGAGAGATTCTGCATCTTTTCGTCTCCTGTAATGCTAAGATCATCCTGGAAAAACATCAGCCTGGCTAGGAGACCCTACTCGTGTAGGTGTGCTCTGCTGATCTCATGGGAGCCAGTTCAGCAGTTTGCTGACAGAGGTCACGATATTTCAGAATTGCCAATTCAGACAACTCACAGTGCTCTGGGAGCTTAGAGACAAGGTCGTCTGAAGTCACAGCTCAGGAGTGTCTCCTGTATCCTGAAGCTGAGTGGTAGATCTTCTTTTCTCTGATGAAGGATTTACCATCCCAAACTAAATAAATGAATATTTCAGTTGGAAAAAGCAATATGAGAACCTTTTGCAGCAGAAGCTTCAATCAAAGAAACAGGAGATATGTGTGAATTCACTGCTGTTAGCTCCCATGTGATTTTTTTTTTCAAATTGCTGCCATTTTCACCTTTTATATAAGTAATTAGCAGAAAGTACACCCTTTGAAGGACCTTTTCAGTGCCACCTTCATGAGGATGCTTTCTAGAATACAGTTTAGCATTCTTTCTTACCTGTGACACTGTCTGAATTGCAGTGCACTTCAGCAGCTGAACAGATGTAGAGTTTTGAAAGCAACACTGGGAGTGTAGGAACTGTGTCTCCTTTTTTGCCGGACAGGACCCAGGGGATATCACTGTGGTCCAGTTGCTGCTGGGGTGGAGTTGCAAAGCCTTTTCACCTCAGAAGAAACTGACAGCGTGAGAAAGTCGAAGATATGGGCTTGTTTGTGATGGTACTGCTCTTGTATTACAGATCAGACATCAAAGACTATGTATGAGACAAGTCATAAAGACCCATTAGTTTTAAACACATTTGCTATTGATAGCAGTTCATTCCTTCCCCGTGTAAACTCAGCTTTATCCACATTGCCATTCTCCTTGTGCTCATCTTCGTTCTGTCCTTCCACCAGGTCTTTTATTTCCTGCAGAAATTTGAATTCCTGCCTCAGGATGCTTCCAGTTTTGCTGTTGATTGTTAGTGCAGATATTCTTGTGTCTCATGTTGCACTGGGAACTGTGTGTGTGCTTAGCAGCATCCCAAAAAGAAGAATGTAGAAGAATCCGAATAGATGGTGAAGCATAATGACTTTGGGTCCTTTAGAAAGAACTTCTGTTTGGTTTGTGAAGCTTGTCAGTCTGCAATTTGGGCAAATAAGCCAATGTCCAGAAGGGCCTGTGAGGGATTCAGATCCTGAAAATGGCATGTGTAAGGTGTGACCATGTCTTGCAGTTCCAGCTCTGGTGCTGCAGGCTCTGTCTCCTTGGCAGGTAATGCTGCAGGATACATTACCATGGCAAATGGTTTAATACATCCCCTGCTGCCCTTTTTCTAGAGATACAGAGGAGAAAAGCAAAGTACCTCTGCTTACTCCCTCTCTGCTTCATATTACAGCAAATGAACACCTTTGTGTTGCTAGATGGGGATGTTGCTAGACAGTAAAGCCTGCCTGGCTAATTCAGACTCTCTCCTCGTTTTTTATCAAAAGACCCTAAAGCATTATAATTCTATGTAATTATAATTAGAAACCTTTTGGAAATCATTCTTGTAATTCCAACAGGGTAATAAATAACTAGAAATGACCAGTGGATATTCCTTCCAATACCTTGAAAGAGGTCTTTGCCCTGAAGTTGCTCTTCTTCAGTAAAGGAACATCTGCAAAACTGCGCATGCTGGCTGTGTTGATACAAAAGGCCTTTAGCTTGTGTGCACTGGTTTAAATATTAGCTTAAGTAGTTGTAGCCAATAATGTTGACTGAAAGGTGGCTTTTCAGTCCTGACAAAGTAGGTATGTTTAAGAGTTGTAGAAATTCTTTCCTGCCTGCAAGTGCAGCGACACCAGCAGCTCTCACAGCTTCTGTTCTTAGAACAGAGAAGAAAGAGTCTTGATCTCAACCTTTTATTCTCTTTGGACAATGTTCAGTAATTCTGTGTATGTAAATAAATGATTCTGTCTGCCTTGAAGTAGGGAGCATACCATCATTAAGTCAGAATGTAGTATTTAGGCACTCTTAATGAGCAGAAAAAAGCCAACATATTTGCTATGAACATAGGGATAAAAAGCTGTAGAATTCAGCTAATAAGTGGGGTCAGCTTCTAGAAAGTAGCAATAGTCACTTAAGCTTAAGTGTTCTATTTCCACACATGTTTGTGTCCAGCTATTTCCATAGTATTAGTCAGGTAAATAAAGGGGACAGTTACTGTTATGTGGTATCAGAAGGAATACTGTGCAAAATATCAGCCAGCTTTTTGCTGGAAAATGTTTGTAGCTTGGCTGCTCCTCAGAGATGGAGCTGACAAACCATAAGTGAGTGGAAGAGCTGGCTGTAACCCAGAGGAGAGTGTCACAGTGCCACTGGCACAGCCTGAGCACTGAGCTACACTCGGTGTCTGGAGTGGAGGAGAACAAGCAAATAGTGAGTGGACTTAAGGAACAGGGAGGGAATGTTGCACTGCTCCAGCTCTGGTGAGTTCCATGCAGATACTCTGTAACAGGCTCTTCGTTACCTGCTTTAGTGTATTTCTGCAAAGCTGTTTTACAATTAATTCATCTTAAACTAATTAGTGATAATTGTGTGCAAATCTCATACAGATTTCAGTGCAGTAGATAAAACTGAACTGAGTGATTATTGAATGATGCTTTACTCCCCAATGGACTAGCAACTTAAATTTCAGCAAGGCCTGATGTTTAGGTGCTTATCCAAATTCCATGTGGGTCGTCTGATGAGAATAATGTTACTTCTTCCTCTCAGTATGGTTGGAGAGTCAGTTCAAGAGGAACAGACCAGTGAACTGTGTTTGGAACTTTGGGTCAGAACAGTAGAACAGTAGAGTTGCTTGAGCCTGGGTTTCAGAGTGGGTTTTGGAACAATTTTTCCTTAGCTATATATAGATTGAGATGTTGTGGGCAGTAATCTAGCAAGTGCCAGAGGCACTTGGCAAAGCAATAAATGTAGTATGTGCCTGTTTTCTCCCATCCTGAGGTGTATGTAAATAAAGAATTCATTTAAACATTAATGTGCATAAGTGAATAGGAATGTGTACACACAAAGTCTGAAGTTCTGTTAAGGTAATTTCAGAAGCAAAATAAAAAAAATGTAGTTTAATGCAATCCTTAGATCTAGTGAAAGGTCTGTAGACCTTCTATTGTCACAGGACCTACTTTTAGGGAGCCTCTGGCCACTTATACAACAGGCCAGAAAGTGTAGATCCACAAGTACTGTATATGATTCAGTATTTCATGCTTCTAAGCCCCACAGAAATATTTCTATTGGAGGAGATTGGTTTTGCCTTTCTCTCTTCTTGTCTCACTTTCCTCTCCCAATAGCAACAATTTAAATAGATTTCTATCCACGTGGGAGGTTAAAAGATGAATTGCATGGTCCTTTTGCAGCTCTGGGGGATACCTGTCGGTCGTTATTTCCCTAATAAATGGTAACAGACGAGACAGAACTCGATCTCCATCTGCAGAAGAATATTGTTTGTTTTTCTGAATTGCACAGACAGATGTTGTTGCACAAAGTGTTGCCTGTGGTGTATCAGTGTTTGTAGTTTGAGCAGCAGACTCCAGGCTGTGCCTGGTGTGTTCTGGCCCTTGTTGGCAGGGCAGTTACAGTTACTGCCTTCCAAACACAGACCCAGCCCTTCCTCCCATCTTGGAGAGCGATATTTTGGAAAATCTCACCGTTTTCATCAGTGCAGGAACACTGGTCTCTTGAGGAAGTGAAAATAAATTCCAAACTGTGCCCATGCCACTCGTAGTGTGGATCATTCGTATTTTCCTTGTGTGTGGCTTCCATTTGTTTAACTCAGGCCTGGTTTTGATTTAACTGGGGCTGAACAATGAAAAGCCATTGGGACTGGACTGGGAGTCCTGCTCAGCTGCATGGTTGGAGACCAAGCTCCACAGAATGCTGTGACATTTTCCCAACCACAGCAGTTGTGGGTGCAGTCGTGTTGCCTTGTTCATTCTGCTGTACATCCTTTTTTCATACAGATGTGGGCCTAAAAGTCCCTTAAAATGCTTAATGGGAAACATCCAGAGCAATGATGCAACTTCAATATTGCATCATACTTAATACATCACTAGTGCTCCTGGTTAGCTGCTCATGAATGTTGCATGGTCACTTTTTACATAAACCCCCTATATTTAGAATCTCATATTCTGCAGGATTTGAAGGTGTGCAAAACCTGGAAATAGTTAATCTTAGTGCTTAGGCAACTGAATATAGACCGTTCCAAAGTCTTCAGCTGCAAAAACTTACTGGTTTTGGAATAAACTCAGTTAGCTCATTTCAGCTTCTGACACTGTTTCATTTTGCTTTCAGGCCCTTTGAGTTTGATTCTATAGTGATTATATATCCATGGTGTGGAAGTTGGGGTTTAGGAGTGTTTGGTAATGAACAACCATGTTAAGATTTACAGTGAACTAAATTTATTAGTCTCAAAGTTTCATTTTTCCTATTAGTAAAGAATGTTAGGTTCATGGGGAAAGATCATTGAGGCCATGGCCAGTCACAAGAGACTCTTCGTCCCATTCCCCTTGCTCATATATAATAAGTAAAGAATGAAAAGATTAAAAAATAAAGTCTTGATATAAGCAAATATGTTAATTGAAGAAGTGGTAGAGCTTTGTAAATATTCCTGATGTGTTTTTTGACTGCCTTGCAGTTACAGTAACATAAGTTGTCACTGGAGAAACATTAACCTTGAAAACAGGGGGACTTAAATAATGCCCTGGAAAAGTGCCCAGTCTCTTTTTCTTTATATTTTTTTATATTTATTTTGGCATTTCAACTTTGTATACATCCAACTCCTTTGTGTTAGTAATCTTGGTTTCCATGCTGGCATTTTGTCATGTTACAATCCTTAGTAGCATGGAAATAGGAGTCCGAGGCTGAATACTTTGGAATATTTCCTTTTCTTCATCCTACATTAGCAGAAATTTTGAAGGTTTCAGGCTTGAGCTCATAGTGTGACAAATCTTTGATCATTCAGTTGTTGCTTTGAACAAAATTAATGCTCTTAATTCAAACCTCATTAGATTTGGCAGCTGTTCGGTTGCCTACAGATTACAGCTGACGACCAGGTGACTTTATCAGCCACAACATTGCTGGCAGTGTCAGAGGAGATGGTAGACTTGGAGCCAGAATGACTTTTGCACCTCAGCTGGCTTTCCTCCAGCCCAGGAATGAAGCTCCATGATGGGGAGCAGAGGAACATACCTGTGCCACTGCTGACCTTACGTGGCTATAAGGTGAACACCTTTCAAAAACATTACACCCACTGCAGTACCACCTCCTGAAACTCTTTGTGAAATGGTATCAACCACTGAAAGGTTCACATTTTGGGTTTTATCGTGTTAGAAATCTCTTGTATCTTTTTTTTTTCCTGGTAATGTACTAATAAAGCTGCCCATTTCTTGCAGGTGGGTGTACATGGCATTAGAATAGAATTCATCAACGAAAAAGGATCAAAGCGCACGGCCACCTACTTACCGGAGGTTGCAAAGGAGCAAGGTCATTGTTGCACTTTATTTCATATGATCTGGTGAAGAATTTAAACATACATATAAATCTAAAATGCAATATTTGACCTTGCACTGATGTCAGATGATGGAGCAATATTTAATTGTAAGAAGACTCTTATATAAAATGCCAATTACATGCCTGTGTCGGTTCCCTGTAGGGATTCAGTAAATTGTAGCTGTTTTCTAAGCCAGTCATGAATGCAGTGTAGCTGTAGGAAAATAAAATCTGGAGGGGTGGTGCAGTGCTGTCAGCTAGGCTGAGAGTTGTTAAAAGCTGCCAATTTTTGTGTGGCTGTTAGGCTGTGATATTAGGGAGGTGCAGAAGCTCTGTTAAGCGATGGGATGCCTGGGCAATTACCCTAACTGCTGATTTATTCCTGAATTCCCAATGATCAAGTTGTTTTTCAATTAGGTGCTTTCTGCTAGTACTTAATTCCTTTTACAAACACTGACTTCCCAGGGTTTTTGATGGATGGAAGGGAATTATTTGCAATAGAAAGTCCAAAATAATGTTGTTCGAGTCCCTTTTGATAGAGGCACAGACTTAAGTTTGTGACTTTAAAAAACTGACATAGATTTTGTTGAATAATCATCTTCTGGACCCAGCAGCTGCCTCTAAGTGCTCACTTTGTGTTTTTCCTTCCAACGTTGATAGTGTGTCTCAGTCTGTCTCAGTCTTTTACATTTTGCATTGCTGCTTTTCTTTTTATTATTTTTGCCTTTTTATGTTTCAGTTTGTCTACAAAGGGTTTGGATGATACCTTTACTGAGGGTCATCCTTAACTGATCATTCTGTTTCCAAACAGTTGCTTAAAAGTCGAGAGGCTTTCCAAGCTTTTTTTGAAATTCAGGAGTTTGGGGGGGGAGGGGTGTTTAAATTTCTAAATGATTCTGGTAAACCATGCATTGCAGTCTGACTCCTCTAAGTCTCCAAAACTACCCATTTGTATTTTGTATGTACCCAAAACTGCCATGGTTTTTCTTTGGTTTTTAATGTAACAGTGTGACTGATGTATTGCATCTTTTGGAAAGAACATGTCTAAGCTATTTAAAATACCAGGTGTTATAAATCAATAAACAGGAGTTTTGAGTAGCATGAAGATTTTAAGGAGAACAGTGATGAATCTGTATTTTTAATCCATCACTTCTTTTATTACTCAGACACCTGTAATGTAATACATAGTAGTTCTAAAATTAGAGGTATTGCTGTAAATGTAAGTGGTGTTTATGAGGAAGTCTGATCTCTGAAGTTCTCTGCACGTGTTCAACTAATAATTATTTTATGTCATACAGAAATTTAATTTTTCATGCTGCCCTAGCTATTGATAATGCACGAAGTGTCTGTGATACATGATCATACTTGAACATTTGGGGAAAGTGTGATTGTGTATCTCACCCCCAGTCTAGGACATTGGGGTAGAGTGGATTCACTTTTGGAATATTTCAACTGTGCGATAAAAAAATATACGTTGTTTGTAGAGTGAACTGTGTGTGTAAAGAAATGCTGCATGTCATATTTCCTTCTGCTGTTCCTAAGTAGGGAGGAACGTTCTGGTTTATTTGGAACGTCCGCAGAGCAATTCTGCTCTCAGCAGCACCACACACTGTACTGTGTTTTTGCAACATCTGTTGTTATTGCTGTATTTCTCACTAATTTTTTGCTACTGTAAAATCCAACAGGATGGGACCACATTCAAACCATAGATTCCTTATTGAGGAAAGGAGGCTACAAAGCTCCGATTACTAATGAATTCAGGAAAACAATAAAGCTAACCAGGTATGCATCGGGGGATACCGCAGCTCAGTCCTGTGGTTGTAATGCTGTGAGGTGTTCACTCCTGGTAAGTGCTCATTGCAGCTTTGCTGTATGTGTCAGTAATGATCTCTTTGTTTCCACAAGAGCAGCATGGACTCTGG